AGAGAGATGCAGGTAGAAATCACCGCCACCACACAGACGCCAATCACTGCTGCTCCTGTCTTTCCAACGGAAGGACACCTCCTCTTGCTGGAAACCATGGCTGTCCTCATAGCGGTACCAGCGTGGGTGCACTGAATTACAAAGTTCCAGCTTCCTTCAGATGAAAATCAAGCACATGAGGGCTGGCTGGATGGCTGAGGTGCGGGACGCCTGTAATGTTTAAATCTTGCTGCTGGTGCCTACACCTCAAACATGCTCCAAAGGCCAGAAAGGATACATACCTCTGCCTGATTCTTGGACAGCTTCTTTCTAACAGCCTTGCCTTGGAGGGCTCCTGTGTAGCAGCCCAGCCCTGCCCTTGGGGACTGTATCCCAGAGAGGCCTTTCTAGCACTGCCCTGGAGCTGTGTCTGTGTAGGCTCAGCCCCTCCTTCCTTCAGCTGTCATGTGGGCACGGCTGGCTTTTAAGGGCCAAGTTCCATTCCCCCCCCCTCTCTCCAAGGAAACAGTGTCTCCCGCCCTCTGGGAGCTGATCTATTAATGTCACGCCTTCACTTTCCCGAGCCAGCACCAGACAAGTGCTCAGCTAAGGTTACACTGGGAAAATGCGAGGGCGTGACCGGCGCAGGCTGAGCACAGCCCTGAGCATGCCTGCGGGTTTGAAAAGAACAAGTTCAAAGCCACCTGTCTGGGCTCCCTGTCTGACAGCATTGAGACTGACACAGCCAGTCAATACAGTAACCTGAACACATTAGCTAGCGGTTAGCGTGTGACACGCACGCACATCAGGAGCTGCAAAGGGGCAGGTGTTCCCAGGAGCCACAGGGCACGTAGCTGTGTGACAACCTCCCTGAAGTCACTCGGATTTGGGATTTCCTCTCCAGGCCCGCAGGGCGTTGATGTGAGCCCATGTCACTCCACTGAAGTCAGTTGAAGCCGTGTCAGTTTTCACTGTCTGAGGGACTCGCCTCATTTAACAGTGGAACTAGGAGCTGGCCCTCCCTCGCCCCCGGTGCAGCACGGCTTGTTCATCCCTCTGTGAGAATCTGATTCTTTATTTAAACCCAAAGACCTGCTCTAGGCTGGCGGTCGCAAACCGGTGTGTAATTAACCCACCACTACAGACGTAAATACCACCCCCACTCCCTGGTTTGGCGCTGGTTTAGTACCTTCCTGATGCACGACTAGGAGGGGGAACTGACCATCTTCATCCAGTTCCATAGTGTTTATTGCCTGAGCTAGTTTCACAGTGGTGTGAGCAGGGGCCCATATCTTCCTCGGCTTGGTGTGTTGAAGATTAAGGCTAGAATCATAGAATACTAGGACTGGAAAGGACCTCGAGAGGTCATCGAGTCCAGCCCCCTGCCCTCATGGCAGGACCCAATACTGTCTAGACCATCCCTGATAGACATTTATCTAACCTACTCTTAAATATCTCCAGAGATGGGGATTCCACAACCTCCCTGGGCAATTTATTCCAGTGTTTGATTACCCTGACAGTTAGGAACTGTTTCTTAATGTCCAACCTAAACCTCCCTTGCTGCAGTTTAAGCGCATTGCTTCTTGTTCTATCCTCAGAGGCCAAGATGAACACGTTTTCTCCCTCTTCCTTATGACACCCTTTTAGATACCTGAAAACTGCTATCATGTCCCCCCTCAATCTTCTCTTTTCTAAACTAAACAAACCCAATTCTTTCATCCTTCCCTCATAGGTCATGTTCTCTAGACCTTTAATCATTCTTGTTGCTCTTCTGTGGACTCTCTCCAATTTCTCCACATCTTTCTTGAAATGCGGTGCCCAGAACTGAACACAATACTCCAATTGAGGCCTAACCAGCGCAGAGTAGAGCGGAAGAATGACTTCTTGTGTCTTGCTCACAACACACCTGTTAATGCATCCCAGAATCGTGTTTGCTTTTTTTGCAACAGCATTACACTGCTGAGTCATATTCAGCTTGTGGTCCACTATAACCCCTAGATCCCTTTCTGCCGTACTCCTTCCTAGACAGTCGCTTCCTATTCTGTATGTGTGAAACTGATTGTTCCTTCCTAAGTGGTGCCTCCAGGCAGATGGTGCCTCTAGGCAGATGAGGAGTTAACCGGGTTAGCCACGCTCAGGCAGTGGCTGCTACAACTGACCTCAGAAATAATTCAAACTCCCGCAAGCCAACACATTGGAAAAGGGTTTGGTTAAAGTGAATGAGACAATAAAACATTAAATGGTTGAAAACAGAGAGATGAATGACGCTTTTTAATTACTAAAGGCTACACTGGCAAGCACGGAAGCGCACGGGACCTCAGTGCTCCTAAACAAAAGTGGCTCCCCCCTCAGTTTTCAGTCCCCGTGTCTCAAGTATCCAGGTGGAAACGTGTTGGAGGTTTGTAAGGAGAGGGTGTTAGAAACACACAGTTTTATGCTGGGAAATGGCAATGCAGGTCTTGACGATCAGGGTGGGTGAAAGCTCTTTTGCAGATGCAATGTGCGGTCATGGGGCAAAATGAAACCCTTCTTCCTGCTGTAGGTGCAACACCGGGAACGGACTCAGCTTCCTTTTCTCCTTGAGCAGTCAGGAGACTGATGCAGGCCTGCAGGTCCTCCCTGGGGAGTGCTGGAGTGGGACTAACTGCCCCCTCCCTGCTGGAATGGGTCTTTAAAGCTCAGAACCTCTGGGGTTCAGTTGTAGTCAAGTCTTGGAACCCCAATCCCAGCTGCTGTGCAGGCAGGCTGCAGAGGGTGGAAGGAGAATTGGACTGATGGAAGGAGCAGACTGTCTCTTCCTGAGGCTTTTCTGCAAGGCCGAGGCTACAGATAGACCAGTGCTGGGGCTGGAAGTGCTAATAAGGGAGAAGAGCTGCCAGGGTGAACGGAGGGGATGCAGACCCCTCCTCTTCCCTCCTGCTGCTGGGCAGGGCAGCCCGTGCCTATAGGCAAACTAGGCAGCCGCCCAGGGCGCCAAGTTACATGGGGCACCAAATTCCAAATTCCCCTTCCAGTGCCTTACCTAGAGCACGGCTTCCCTGCGGCCAGGAGGGGGGTAAGTCCTGGGGGAGGTGGCGCGTGGTTCCCTGCACTGCAGGGCGGTCGGCCCGGAGAAGCTCCGCACCGGCTTCCCCTGCCGCGGGAGGGTGGGTCTGCCCCGGAAAATGGAAGTGCTGGCCAGCTTCCCATGCCACGGCGGGTGGGGAGGTGAGGGGGGGATTGGCTCCAGCAGAGGCACATGCGGGGGTTCTCTGGCCGTGGGTCAGGGTCGGCCCCGGGGGAACAGGCCCAGGGGGTTTCCCCATGCCACAGGAGGAGAAGGAGTCAGCCCTGGGGTAGGCATGTACTGTCTTCCCCTGTGCCACGCGAATGGGAGTCAGCCTGGGAGAGGCGCATGCCTGCTTCTCTCTGGGGGGCGGGATCTTCATAGGAGGCAGGTGCAGGGGACTCTCTCCCCCCACTGGCACCCTGTTCCTCTCCCTGGCCCCCCGGCCCCCAGCCACAGAACTCCATCCCTGGCCCCCCCCGCCCCCAACCACAGACCACAGAACTCCATCCCAGCCCCCCTTTCCCCAGCACAGAACCAAAACTCTCAGTCAATATCTGCCCTTGGGGTTGGGGGAGGTGGGGGCGCCGATTGCATGGTTCGCCTAGGGCGCCAGTTGCTGGTCACTAGTCTAGGAACGCCCCTGCTGCTGGGGAAGTCAACAGTGTACGACTCCATCGTGGCCCCCATGGAGGCCCAAAAAGTGAGTCTCCTCTCTGAGGACACAGCCCCCCTGGCTAAGAGGGTTGGGGGGGGCACATCTTTCCCCTCCTGGAATCTTTGGTGCCCCCTCAAGACCTCGACAATTGTTCAAAAGTCCGAAGTGTCCAACGCTCAAAACTGCAAGGTCTGCAAGTCACTTATATAAACAGTGCTATCTGGTTACACATAATTCCGACTTAAGCACACCATAACTTTTATCTTGTACTCTAGATAGTTTGAACCTCCACAGAGAGCACACGAAGCAGCACTTGATAAAATCAGCCAGAGCTGATATGAACTTTTGCACCATACTCAACAGAAAATCACAGGGCACAGCAGGGGAATTATAGGTGAGTTGGCACACAGACATTCTCAGTCTCGGAGGGTTTGCTTCCTCTGAATATCCTTCTGAATCAACTGTGGTCTTCACAATTTTAGGGTTAACACCAGGGAGTTGTGACAAGGAGTCCTGTGGCACCTGATAGACTAACAGATGTATTGGAGCATAAGCTTTTGTGGGCAAAGACCCGCTTCGTCAGATGCATCTATAAGGTGCCACAGGACTCCTTGTTGCTTTTGCAGATCCAGACTAACACGGCAACCCCTCTAATACTTATCAGGTAGTTGTGTGACTTGAGGAACCTTGTAAGCTTCAGTAACCTCACTTTCTGGTGCTCTCTGTGCTTCTATTGGGTCTTCCCATCAGGTCTGCAATCCAGGAATGGGAGGCGCTCTAGCTGCTTTCTCTGCAGAAAAATTGGTTGCCTATTGCATACAGTGGTGCCAGAAAGCATTAGCCATGAATAAACACACAGTCTGTATCTCATCATCTGAGGCAAACTTGCGTGCTCTTCTGAGAGATTCCTTCCTTCGCCTGACTTGGGTTTCTGATTTCTAGTCCCTAGGAGAATCACAGGGGGTTTCTCTGTGGGTGCTTCAAGAAAATGAAGTAACTGTCCTATTGATGGGAGATGTTTTTGTGCAAAATTGTTATGTCAGTTGGACCCCTTTCTCACATCAAGTGATACACTAGCATGTCTGTCAGCTTCTGAACTAGGATGTATGAGTCAGACTGAAATTTGGCTGCTGAAATTTTGCTCCCAACAGGAATACTGAGATTTTTGGATTTTTGGATGGTCTTAATCCTGTTCAATTCCTTGTCTGTTATATCTGAATGTATTACTGGGGTTCCCTTTCTTTGCAGCATTCCTGGGCAACTTGTGAGCCACACTTAGTTGTTCTTTCAGTTGTGTGACATATAACAAGTAGAATTCTTGACAGGTCCATCTGAAGACAATCTAAAGCACATGTCCAGACAGATGAGTTTTCCTAACTACAGCCATAGGGCATTCCTCCTTGTGCACGTCCCTGGCACTACAGCCATAGGGCATTCCTCAGTGCACGTCCCTGGCACTACACACCCAGGCTCCGTCTACGTTACAGAAGGATCAATGCGCTGCTGATTGATGCACTGCGACCGGATTTAGATGGTATAATGGGATAATGAAGACCCACCAAATTAACCACAGATCACTTTCCAGTTGACCCCGAATGAGAAAAGTAAAGTAAGTCAATGGAGATTGTCTCCTATTGACCCAGCACAACGTTGGCACTGTAGTGAGTCACACTAAACTAGGGCGACTCCAGCGATGTTATTTTTGTAGCTGTAGTTTACTGTGGTTGTGTAGA